ACTGTTCCCTCTAGGATAACATATATCCGTGACTGGTAAGCCTAAAGCTCTTCCATGGGTAATCATTTGCCGATGTTGCTTGAGAAATATATGGGAAGTTTCCTGTGTAAAAGTGGTATCCTCAATAGCGTCCGAAGATGGGACATACTTTTGATGGCTTCCATGGTGAGGACCCGAGTTCCGTCCCAAAACATCAACTGCTGATAAAGTAAGGACGGCACACAATGGGACACATGAATCCCATTTCTCCCCAGAAGAACAGAATACGTGGTATCTGCTTTAACCACGAAAAACATAGTAGAAATGGTCTTCAGACCCACCTCTATAGGAGCAACCATCATGCCATTTGCCTTGATTGGCTGACTAGTAAAGCTTGTCATTTCAATATCGACCGGTGTGAGGTCGGCCACAGTTTTACCTAGTTTGTACAAGGTTTTCAAGGGCATAACGTTAAACACCGCACCATTATTAATAAAAGTTCTACTTACAGCTTTCCCACAAATATGTGCATCAACGTAAAGGGGCTTCATATGCGAAACTGCTTCCTCAAGCATCAGTGGGAAGATAACTTGAGCCGTTTCGAATGGTTCGTATGGACTCAGAGAAGTCCATTCTTCTTCAAGCACCGTGTCATCCGATAGATGAGCCCATAATGGCTCTTCATCCATTTGACAGATGCCTAACATCCTTACTATGAATAAGTCGGTAACCTGATCGTGATTCCCCTTAGAGTCCATCAGGCTCCTTTTTTCTGAAGGAATTTGCTTCAACCGCAGTAATTTTGTACCTCATTTGGTAAAAAACTTCCAAACACCATTCGTTCGAGCTCGAATGCAATATCCACCTTAGGATCTCTATTAATTTGGTGGCAAAATCATCACCTAAAACTTCTTTTTACTTGTGCAAGGGGGCACTCCTTCTCTGTTCGGCTCAGAATCTTAACATTTTGTTTGGGTGCTTCTTTCGATGCCCACCCATGACACCTGTCTTTCGCCACCTAGTTCAGACTCCCAATATTCTGCTTATTTCGATTGTTTTTCGGTTGTTTCCTCTGCATAACTGCATAACTTCGCTTAGCATTCTTAATTTGTGTACGATTCATCCCAGGGAACCTTGAGTCGATATTGATGGGTAAAGGTTTTTGATTCTGGTTCCATCTATCCTCCTTTGATGTTTGGGGCCTGCGCATGGACTTAGGATATACGAGTGTTCCGTTCTTGACTTTGATTTCAAATGTACCGTTTGAACGGTCTTACTTTTCAGCGAATCTGGTTGGAACTTCCACAATTTCCTTTGACTTATATCTTTCGCGTATGCCGATTGTTGCTACAGTAACTTTTAGAAACGGTTGTTGCTCAACCCCCAGAGTGACATACTTGAATCTCCCTTCCCGAATAGCCTTTTTGTATTTCTTTTCGAAAATGGATGCACGGGCTAGTATTATGGGTAAACGAATTATGCCACTTACAGTATGGTTGCCATTTGATCTCTTCTTTGGTGACCAACCGTTGTCCTTTTGGAATATGGATCTGCCCATCAGCCAACAGTATATCAAAAATATCATTTGCTTTTGAGGTATAAAAAATAGGCTAATCTTTGTTTCACTCTGTCCCAGGTGTAGGCTTTAATTTGGGATAGACATAAGGTTTCTCTTTAACAACTTCAGCAGCCATCTCCTCTATTTCTTCGCAATATGTTGTTTCAGGGGTATATGCGTCCGCCCCTATAGTAGCTATTTGTTGGAATCTCCCTCTCTTTAGACTTTGGTCTTTTTCCTTAAATAAATATTCCAAACATCTTGCCTTCAACGAAAGCTGTGCCAAATCCTGAATATCATGAGCCATCAAAGCCTCCCTCAGTCTGGTATGCATGTTATGAACCACCAAATTAGTCATCTCCCTTTCATCAATGACAATCGGACACTTCTCTTTCATCAACCGAATGTGTTCTATAAATTGAGATGCACGCTCCTTGTTCATCTGTCATGTTTTCAATAAATCGGTTAGTGATACTATTGGTGTGAGATTGAAAAACTTGGTATGGAAAGTAGCTTCTAATCCTTCCCAGGTTTGGATTTGTCCGGTTGGCAAATTAGCAAACCACGATAATACTGTCATTGTTAGCGGAAGCCCGAACATCTGTAGTTTTTAGTATGGATTGTTGCCAACTTCGCCAAGTTGAGCCGTAAAACGGCCCACATGCTAGATGGTAGAAAAACCATCTTCGCCCAAAAAAATGTGAAAATCAGGAGGTTGGTAATTCCTCGGAAGGGAGTGTTTGTTGACAATTCTCTCAGAAAATGGCCTCTGATATGCTGGACGGTTCACCATCTGAGGATTCATCCCGAAGTGCAATCTAAGAACATGATCGACATCTTCTGGGTCAACCCTATGTGGTGGGTTTTTGTGTATAGGGATGAGATCATGGGCTTGTCCTTCCAGACGTTCTTCCCTCAAATAACCGCCGGAGGGTCTGTTTTTACTCCTAGTGGAACATTATTAAGGTAAGTAAGAGGCGAATTTTCCTTATCCATTCTGCTTAGAACAGTGACATTCGGAATCGTGCTCTCGATATAAGATGGCCCTGCGAGATACGCCTAAAGTCGAGATGGGGACATTCATGATGGTGTAGGGACCGTTTGGAATGTGATTCTTGAAAAAGCTTGATCTAACATATTTGTATCAGATTTGTTGATCACACAACATTGCTTGCATGGTGGCTATTTGTTGGTTATTCAACTGTTGAACATAGGCTATCCATTCGACGGGTACTTGAGTTGCACCTCCTGTAGATGGGATCGCGGATGGTATGGATGCCGTGCTTCCCGCAGACGTACTGGAGGTTTGCGGCTGAGAACCAGTCATGTGACTGACTCATCTCAATAATCCGACCATATCGGAGTCGAATGAAGTTATCTTGGGATGTGTGATTGACAATCTTGTTTCCACTTCCACTGTGGTAGCCAATTTGTTGACTTGAGAAATCCAACAAAGCAAACTAAAATCCAAAAATAGGTTTTTGAATTTGATGAGTTGTGTCTGAGATCACGTATGAATCCCTAAGCGCTAGAGTTGCTAATATAAAAACCCAAAATATACACAGGAAACGAAAACTAGAGTGAAGAAAAAACTAAAATCTAAAGTTGTTCAGAACTTTTTTATGTTGTCGAGTGTTTTTTTCTCTTTGCCCCTGCTTCTCGCTTATATCCATTTGCCGGCATCGTTTTCGAGCGGTTGGATTCGGTTACCTGCTTACGGGGTAACCGAGGCGGTTACCCGTGAACCTTTAACCATCCGAATCAGCTACTTCACAGAGCGTGCCCCGTTAGTTTTCGGACACCTCAACCATCCAAGCGGTGCTTCTTGACTTTTTAACCAATTGACCCGAAAATTAACGATCGTTTAGCTCATCACACCTGTACTCCAGTCTTCTGAATTGTACTGCCAGATCTCCTTGTACCCAATTTGACTCTACGGACCAAACTTGTCCTTGTGATCTCGTGAGGCGAAACCCTAAATTCCACTTTCTCGTAACTTAACAAAAACATACAATTATATTTTTAAAAAAATAAAAATAAATTATAAACGAAAAAAAATATAGACAATTTCTTATCTATTTTTTTAATATTAAGTATTATTTTTGTTTTTATAAAAATTAATAAAATAAAAAATATGAAAGGGAGAAGTACTTATTTTTCAATATTATTAATTAATAATAATTTTTTAATATTAAATATTATTTTTATTTTATAAAAATTTAATAATATATAGGATTTGTTTCTTCTGTGTAGTTTTGGCCAAAATTACTGTATGGTCCGAATTTAGCGCCAAACCGGGCCTGTTTTTTTGCTCCCGACAGCTCTGTGCACAGAGTTGACATGTTTTTTTTTTTTATTTAAAATTATAATCATAAATTTAATTTTTTATAATATTTATAATTTAATAAAATGTATACAATATATGTTATTTTGCAGAGAATAAAATATTTTATAATACAAATAAATAAAAATTTAGAAATATATAGATATAATATAAATTTATAATTAAATTATACAAATTAATACACATTTATATTATTATATTTATTACTAATCAAATCAATCATATCAAAAGTCTCTCTCTCTCTTTCTCTCTCTCTCTCAAAACTCACCAAACCCCCAACCAAACCTAAATACAAAAGAAATATCAAAATTCAAATAAAAATTAAATCCAAACCAAAATTTCCCAAAAACCCTTAAAAAACACACCCATAATAAATCTAATTATAAATATATAATACTCCTCCGTCTCATCTGAATTGAATTATTTTATTAGAGACACGATATTTAAGGTAATGATATTTTATTATTTAATAATAATGAATTATAATTTTATTTTATTATTTTTTAATGTAGTTAATAATAATATTTATAATTTTAAAGTAAATTTAATATATATAATCAAAAAAATAAAATATATGTTTAAATATTTTAAGATTATATAACAATAAAAAATATATTCAATATTGATATCATATTATAAAGAATAAAATTTTTTATAATGTAAGTAAATAAAAAAATTTTATTTATTTATTTATAATTAATATAAATTAATTTTATAAAAAATGTGTAATTTTAAATATATATAAAATATTTATTTTTTTAAAGAGAGATTTATTAAATATATTTTGATTTAATAATTTTTATTCAAAACAAAAAAAATACTCTCTCCGTCTTCATATAATAGTCTTGTTTATCATTTTTGTTCGTATTAAAACAATAATATTATTTTTATAAATAACCATATCACCACAAAACTACTTTCTATTTATTTATTTTTATTAGATAATTATTACTATTTTTTAAATTAATATACTCACATAAGTATAAATTATTAATATAATATTAATATTTTTTAAATGGATGGAATCCAATTAACACTATAGTTGTTCGACTAAGGGAGTATCAATTATTATAAGCTGATTAAAAATAGAATGTCTAATCAATACATTTTACACATCCACCGACTCAGCCGCCGCCGACACCGGGTACTCGTCTTTCTTCTTCTTCTTGCCTCCAATCTTTCCTTTCTTCCCATTTCTTTCCTCTCCTCCATCTTATTTTCTTTCCTTTCTTCTTCACCTACCTGCTCCGGTTTTGGTTTGAACCGTAACTGCCGGCTAGAAACCGGCGGTTCGAACCGACGGTTCGGAATTGAATGTGCAAGTCTTATTAGACCTACGATCCTAGGCGCCAAACTGATGAGTTGTTTTGGAATAAGCGGGAAATATTTTCAGATTAGGTACAGTGCCGATATCTGATTACAAACCCATGCTCAAGTCTTCCCTGTCTTCGGTTCCATTCTAGATTCCTCGTTTCTCCCTTTTTCGCTTATAACCCTTTGTCTTCTTATCCCACGAAGTCGTAATTTTCTTCTCTGTCGTCCTCCAGGACAAGGCATTTTAGCTGTCGATATCGTCTACGGTCTCGTCGGAGGTTTTGTAAGTTCAATCCTTTCATTAGTTTTGAATTGTTTGGTGGTATGAGCTTCAATGCCAGCCGCTTTTGGCTATTTAGGGTTTGAATCGTTTGATGTTATTTGCAATTAGTTGTGTTCATTTTAGATTAGTTCCAAGGGCTGCGGTTTATTTCATGTGACTATACAGAGTTTCTGTGGGTTGGGGCTCACCTTCTATTTCTTTGGATGGTATTGGTTCTGTGCTTTTTGCGATTTTTTGTATTTTAGATTCAAAATTTTGTTTGCATTTTCTTTTCTTAGATATATATATATATACTGTTGTGTATGTATGTATGCATGAATATGATTTGGGTATGCTTGGATCCGTGCATTTTATTGAAAAATTGAAAGAAATAATGCCAAATCTGCCTGCAACTGCAATTGAGGTTTGAAACTCTTTACTTGCGATATATTGGATATTCTGATAGCATCTTCTTTTTCGCCTCAAGGCATCCAAGACATTGTTGACCTGTGTTGGATGCTGATTTGTGTTGCATTTGCATTGATGTAACTGATATTGGCTTTTGAAAGTTTTAAATGGCTAATACCCTAAATTCTGAAAACTCATTGTTACTCTGTGATGTATTTTTCATTATACAGAATAAGTTTTACTATACAGATACACCCATAATATATATAGCACAACTTCATCCCTATTCAAATCTGTAGAATTAGTGGCAACCAGAAGGAAAAGGAAAACGAGAATTTTATTCCATGGATGCAAGTGCTGAATTAGGCTCTGCTGCTGACAATTACAACTCGTTGATGTCAACAACTGATGCTGAGTTGTTGAAGACTGCATGGAGGAATGAAAAGGCAGCTCCAGAGATTCTGAAATTCGACTCTGATTTAGTTCAGAGATCCCGCCAGCAGCTCCATTTAATGGTGAGTGATCACTTTTGACAATTTGTTCTTAATAAGATATTTCTTCAATTTGCCTTCCTGGCCTTCGAGAGACCGAAAGAGTTTCTTGTGATGAATGAATCTTTATTCCCATGTTGTGATGGTGTGTTGTTAGTCTTATTATTTGCAGTACTGTGTGTTTAAAAGGGTTTAGGGTAAAAAATCTGTAAAAGTTGCCTATCAAAATGTTTTACTTGTGTCAAAAATGTATTTTAATGGCTGTGAATGATGTTAATTGTTAAGTAAGCACCAGAGCTTATTATTTGCTCACGACGCCCTTTGTCTTCCGTCTAGAGTAATGCCTTTATCCATGCTCGAAGTTTCTGATAAACTTTATGTCCTCTTTTTTTGTTTTAACAAAGTTTTTGTTCAGATGTTCTTGTGTGCAGTGACATATATGCAGTTGATTCAAACTTCCAACATTATCAACATATGGAGCGGGTGTCATTATGTGTCTATTTTGACTAGGGATTTTGTGAAGATTTTCTCTTCCTATGATTTCTGTTGTCTAACCCTGGTTTAACCGAAAAATGATCAGATTGTGCTCTTAAGATATATATATATATATATATATTCCCTGATATCCATGCCTCTGTTAGAAAAGGATCGAATTTCTATTAACTTTAGACTATTTATAGGGATGATGCCATCTGTGCATAGCATGAAATCTGATTATTAAACTGCTTTGCCTTCTCACTTTCCAGGAAGAGATGGTGAATGACTTCAACTCTAACGGTGTTGATCCACTAACGGTGTCCCTTTATCAGATGGACCTGGATAGGACTATGTTCCTTTTGAGATCGTATGTGCGTACTCGATTGCAGAAGGTATAACTGTAGGCTGGACTTTCTGGAAATCCTTTCTTGGTTCAGTTTTTATTTGTGTTCTTTTCTCAAAATTTATCATTCTGATAGAAGAAACTAGAAACCAATCATCTGGATCAAATTTATATTTCAGCTGATGTGCAAAATGCACATAGAATTATATAGGTAGCCAACTTTGGTCCGGAAGCGCAATTTCAAACTTTACCCAAAGATGCTTCTCGACTAAGATGATGATCGTTGTTTTGGCAGATTGAAAAATATGTTTTCCACATAAATAAAACTACAGAATTGTGGAACCGGCTGTCCATGCAGGAACAAAGATTCGCCAGGAGGTGAGTTTGTCCAGTGTTGAAACTAAGAAAATATCTATACATTTTATCTAAAATTGCAACTATATTATGCTCTCTCAATTGCATTTTCGATGACATTTTAATCGATACACTTTTACTTATTATTAAGTAAATGGATACATACATTCACTCAGGACAAAGATTATTCTTTATGTGGCGTTAATTTACCAAAAATATTTTTTAACATCAAGTGCAGGTGTGCTGGAGATTTAACAAAAAACCTGGAACAATCTGTGCTCTCTAAACTACCCGAACAATACCAATCTCATTTGAGACAATCCGCGGCAAGTGAAGATGATGACATGGGTAACTGCAATACTTGCGATCTCTGATATCTTACCAAAAGATTTTGCTTCTAAGTTTTTTCCCTTTGAAATTTGTCAGTTCCCGAGCCACGACTGGATGCATATGTGGTGTGCAGAAGCAAGAGATATTTGGGAGCCTTTCAGCTCGACGATGGGTAATTATTTATCATAAGTGATGAATTTTGGTTTATTTGATTGTGTGTTTGGTAAATATTTACAAGAATGTATGTGCAACACTGTGACAGTGAAGAAGAACCAATTAATATCGAAGCTGACGATCTATATGCCTTGCCGTACAAGTCTATAAAGCCGCTAGTGGAGAATGGGCAGATCGATCTAGTCTGAGTCTGAACAAATGGACCGGTAAGAATTCGTTCTATACAACTTACTACAAAGTTCCATATGTATTATTCCGAGCTCTGTCAAATTGCTTTCTAGATAGATAGATGTTCCAATATATGAAGAACAGACAGACAGAGCAAGAAATGGAGCAGACCCCAACAACTTCATCAAAGTAAAAATCAATATTCATACTGTTATATACATAAATTCATCAAGTTGGTGTTGGATCCATGGGAAATGCATTAGCAGCAGCAGCAGCATCCGAGTTGAAGATCCAAAATACGATGATGAATAAAGCAAAAGTTATCCCGATCATAAAACTCAGTTTGAGCATGTTTGATAGTAGTTTATCGACCCATTCCTTCTTCTTGTATACACCACCATAGAATTCATCAATGATAATGTCCAGCAAACAATCCAGAAGCAGTTTCATTGAATTACCCATATCTTTTGATTTCAAGACCTCAGTTCTGGCTTCCCTCAGATGTTTTAGCACCAATTCAGCCTCAACACATTCGATCTTCTTTAGAAAATCTAATTCAGGATAGCTTACTTGGGGTTCTGAGGTAGCAACGAACTCCTGCTTGTCTGAAGTAACAACGGAGGATGAAGACAGAGACAGTGCAGGTGAACTAACACCTACTGTTTCTGTTGAATATGCATCTGCTGCTGGCGTTGCTAGACTAGTTATCAAAATCTGAAACAGGACAGGGCAATGTTATCAAACTTTCAAACAGAGTCGGAGAAAGAAATCGATGCTACATCATTTTTGTTTCTAGAGGACAAAAATCAACAGCAGTGAAAATGAATGAAAGTTCGCATGCATCAAGGCTTATGATAGCGAAAATTTAAGAAATGTCGGCAGAAACAAATGAATTGTACTTCAGAGCAAAGAAACGTAGAAAAACTTTACCTCTGCAGAATCGCTGAATGAATTATCACCGGAAACATCAGAAATTTCCTTGAGAGACTCCGTAACCACAGATTCTTCTTCTGAAACGGCTTTGAACTCAGGATTCAAACTCTTTTTTGTGACCTGAGAAGATTGATTTTGCCACCACAGTTACATAAATTTAAGAAGATGTATTGCGGTTTGGTCGAATTGATTTGCACCTTGCGTGCATTCCTATTGAGCTCTGACGAAGATTTCAGCCTGCGAGCTGAAGACGATTGATCTCTCTGTGGTGTTTGAAGTGCTAAGTCTCTCATTTTCGTTTCCTAAATACATAATATATATAAATACATATATACATATATATATATATATATAGCAGGCAGCATTGAGATTGATAGCAGCAAATAATTCAAAATTAGTGTTAAGGATTGAAGTTACAAGGCTTCTTACGAAATCACAGAAGAAGACGTTAAGACGACGACGACGACGACAACGAACCTGCCTGCTTGGTTTGGAGGACGAAATCTGGAGAAGAAAATTATGTGGAGGTTGGTCAGAGAATAAGAAGACGACAGGTGGAAAGGAAACGAGTTTTGGAAGTTGGAAGTCACGGAGAGGAGAGGAGAGCAGAGGCTAAGGATTTTGATGGAACTGTAATTTAAACATCGAGTTGGATCTTATTGTACTGTACAAGTTACAGTAGTTCAAATTATTTATAATAAATATACTTTTGAGGTGTAAACATAAAAGCTTTGTTAATTATATTAGATTGAATGTACAAAATATATTTATTCCATCGAGATTTTCGGAGTGTAGATTTTTAAAAATTTTACAGTCCATGGATAGTTTTATGGATTTTATTAATTAATTTAGATTTTTATAGACTTTGTTGAATTTTTTTTTTATAAATTTATATGAATCTTGTAGAATTGTAAAATATATATTTTTTATTGATTTGTATAATTGTATAAATTTATATAAACACAAATTTTACAAATATAATATATTTATTATATACGATTATATTTTATAAAATATAAGTAATATTAATAAATAATATATAATTATTAATGATATAGAAATATTGTAACATATATAATGCTACTAGTTTGTATATTATATTTTTATAATTTTATTATATTATCATTCAATATATTAATTTATTTTTATATTTTTTTATTAGTTATTATTATTATTCTTATGTAATAAATTTTGTAAAATAGAAATATATAGATTAAAAAATTAATATATCATATATATTCATTATTTTTATATTATATGCATAATTTCTTATACTTAAAAAAATATCCCTTCAAAATATTTCACAAAACAATCACACCAAAAATAAAAAACTACATTTACAATTTTACGTAAGAAATAAAATTTAAAAGTAAAAAGTAAATAAATATAACTAACTTTCAACTAAGAAAATATATATATTTAGTTAATTTTACCGACAATACAAGGTATTCGATAATTAAGAAAAACAGTAATACATATTTATTATGATAATAGTAATTTTCAAATATTATTTTATAATATAAAAATACATATTTTAAAAAAAAATTGATAATAATTTATTAATATATTTTATTTTTAAATTATTACTTTTTATTAAATATTTAAAATAATATTAATAAATATAATCATATTCTTTATCACTTATATATTATCAACAACAACAACAACAATAATAATAATAATAATAAATAATAATAATAATTTTAAAAATTCATCAAAATCACTCATTTTCATGAGAGATTTTTTCATGTACAAATTTTTCATAATTGTCCATTAAAATCCATAGAAAGTCGGTGGATTGTTGAATACTTCAAAATTTTAAATAAAAGTCTGGATTGAATACACCCGAATTTTAAAAGTTCAACAAAATCCTATAGAATTGTGATTGAATACACCCCTCTTAGCCAAGGTCTGATATCTCGTCGGATGCAAAATGACAGTTTCAACTAAAAACTCGAATTATTAAGAAAACGTAGGCATCAATTTATATATCCGCAAACGAGAATCCCAAAATAAATAATTGAAACGGCTAGAAATTTTGGAGGAAGATAATGGAATTGTCTTATTATTGATCATTAAAATAAGGAGCCTATATAGGCAATAGAAAACAGACTCGATAGACTCAAATCTAACTAATCTAATATATGAATAAGATCAAATCTATATATAAATCTACTAAATCTAAAACTGAATATCTAAAATATCTCAACATCCCCCTCAAACTCAAGTGGTATAACATAAACCAACTTGAGTTTGATAAGAAAGTTGAATATAGATGGAAAAAAAAAATGCAAATAAAAATAACAGTTGACTCTCCACCGAAGTTGAAAACGACATGACTCCACCGGAGCAAAAAACAACATAACTCAACAGGAGCCGAAAACGAGATGACTTCACCGGAGCCGAAAACGAGATGACTCCACCAGAGTTGAAAACCACATGACTCCACCGGAGCCGAAAACGAGATGGCCGAAAATGAAATGACTCAACTGGAGCCGAAAATCACATAACTCCATCAAAGACGAAAACGAGATGACTCCACCGTAGCCGAAAACCACATGAGTCCACCGGAGCCAAAAACCACATGAGTCCACCGGAGCCAAAAACCACATAACTCTACCGGAGTCGAAAACGAGATGACTCCACCGGAGCAAAAAATGACATGACTCCACTAGAGTCGAAAACGACAAGAGTACACTCCACAAAGTCGGAAATAACGAGACATGACTCTGGAGAAACGAAGCAGACGGATCGCAGAATCGCAGACAGATGCGCAGACATGACTTCAATCAAAATTCAAAATTGGGAGACCTCCGGGTACATCCTAGGTTGAACGTACCCGGAAAAATGCGGGTTGGTAGGCTATATCTACGGCATGAGAAAAGTAGGCTCTGATACCGTGTTAGAAATTTTGGGGGAAAATAATAAAATTGTCTTATTGATCATCAAAATAAGGAGCCTATATATGCAATAAAAAATAACTCAATCTAAGTAATCTAATCTATAAATAAAATCAAATCTAAATATAAATTTACTAAATTTAAAATTGAATATCTAAAATATCTCAACAGAAACTATTGTTAACACTAATGATTCAAATAGATTAATTTCTGCTAATGAAATGAGATTAAAAACTATATATATATATATATATTTTTTAAAAATACTATAAATTGAATATTAAGATTTTAAAGATCTTGACGCGAATATATGTATGTTTAATATTTTAACTAAGTGCATTTATATATTTATACTATCCATTTCTCTTAAATGAGACCGATCAAAAAATTGTTAGATAATAAATTTTGTATCAATGTTTAATGGGTTAGAGAATATTTATATTTTTCTACAAAATATTTTCTATTATAATAAATTAATTAAATTATATTTTTATAAGCTCACTCATCGTGCACTGCATTGGTAATAAGCTAGTTATTAGTATTATACTTTTATAAAGTATAATATCTTTATATGTTTATAAATATAGATATAAAAATTATAGGGTTTGTATGTTTTTTTTATTTTTTTATATATATTTTAATATTTTACGTAAAAAAATTACTATTCAATCAAAATAAGTCCCAATAAATATATACTATATCCGTCTCATAAGAAATGTATTATTTGTTTTTCGCGTTATTGTATTTAACATTAAAAATATATTTTTATTTGTATAGTTTACTCCACAAATGTCATTGTATTTGTATTATAAGAGATTAATATATATATATATATATTTGTATTTTTTTCTTGATTTATACGACGTATTAATATAATAATTAATATTCAAATATTAACATCCAAAAAGATATGATATTTTTTTTATAAGACGAAGTTAATATTATTTCTTTCACAAAATATAATATCAAATATTATTTAAATAAAAACTTAAATCAACACTTAATTTTAAATTAATTTAAAATCACAGCCAAACAAACTCATATATAAAATAAAATTTTATATTATAATACAAAATTTAAGATAAATTTATTGGCATATTATTATTATTATTATTATTATTATTATTATTATTATTATTTCATTTGATTAAAATCAAAATTTGAGATTTGAATTTTGAGTTGAAATTTGAATAGTAAAAAATTTGAATTAAAAAAAATTGTATAATGTGGTGATATAAATAAATATTTATGTGATATTTTAAATATACAATTGATTTTAATATAATAAAAAATAGATATTTGATTTAATTATTATTCGGGAAAATTTTGTATGTATATTAGAAATTCATCAAACAAACACACTCAAATTTAGTTATGTTGATATTTTTTCCCAAATTTTTATTTATATTTAATTAGTATATAAAGAAAATGTTCATCTAATATTTTTTTTTTGATAATACGATTCTCAATAAATATTACTCATTCCGTTCCACATAAAGTGTTCAGTATTTTCATTTTGTCCGTCCTACATAATTTATCTATTTTTTTTTTCAGAAAATAATTATATTCTTTAATTTCATTTTAAGCTATAATTTTCTTAAATTATTTAATTATCTTAATCCTAATTTATAATTATTTGTATTATACTATAATTATTTATACTAAAACACTTCTTAATTTATTGCTCATTATAATCTTTTTAAATTTTCATATTGCAGTAACTTGAACACTTTATCGGGATAGGAGATAATATAAAAATAATATATAAAAATATATACTATCTATTTAAAAAAATTAATCTTCAATACAAAATAATATTTTTAATATTATTGATATGAAATAAACACACCCTAAATTCTTAAAATGTCTCGATTTATTTGATTTTGATTTGAAATTGAATTTCTGATTTCTTGATTTTTTTTTTTATTGTGATGTTATATTTTATAACAAAAAAATAATATAGTTTTGTCAATAGATACTAAATAATATCATTTGTATTTGAAATACAAATCAAACACATCCTTCTTTTTATTCTTCTTATTATTATTACTCCACTTGTCCATATATTACAAGAAAATAGTATTTTTGTAACGAAATTATTTTGTCCCTAAATCTACTTTTTCTATTATTAATGACATTACAGACAAAATTATGGATGAAATTACGTTACAAATATATTTTTTTTGTAATAATAATCAACCCTCCTAAACATTATTTACACAGTTTTTTTATGAAATTATCTTTTTATCATTATTTGACAATTTTGCTCCTTCGTCCTTTATCATCCTGTAAATAATTGTACATTCTGCGAATGATTTTTTTATTCTTCTTCTCTATCGTCCCATACACTCATTTATTCTATCAAATTTCATCTTCAATATCGTGGGTTTGATTCGATATGTAATATCATTTTATTGAAAATGGAAAAGCAAATTTGAATATTAGGGCACAACATGAAGAGAAAAAAATGTATTGTCATCATTGAGTTCATTGTGGTTTAGAAATTTGCAATCAGAAGAAGTGCAGCACCATAGCAACGGTATGACTATTTTAGTCTTAATTTAATTTTGTTAGACATCCAATTTTGTAAGAAATATCTTTTGTCAACTAAATGCCGGATTTATTTTTTTTCTTTTATTTTATCGCTACTAGCTAAAATTTTTGCGGCAATTTTACTAATTTTGTTTTGCCGCCAAATGAAATTTTTCATAATTTTTTCCATCCATCTATACAAGCATTCTATTTTATTTTTGAGATATTTATTTGTAACTCTTCTCTCATTGTCTTTCTGAATTTAAGCAATAGAGTCATATTAAATGAAAATGAAGTTAGATTGCCCAAAATCAAGTGGA